TAACTTTCATACACTTTTTTAAAATGACATGTCTTGATCCAGTAAGCATGGTGATGCCTTTGTGAATAAGCACTATTCAAAGTTTTACCGATTCCCCAATGATAATTGTTTGTATAAACAGTGTCCAGCCTCTTAACTTTATAACCTATTCAAGCCAACAATGTATGCATCTTAGTTTAAAAGCTTTCCTATACATGTACACAATTCTTTCTGTCAGCAGTCTCTTAAATTCTATTCCATTGAATACATTAATGACATTATCAATAGATTCAACATATTCCCTATAGGGATGATTCATAATGTTCCTCAATAAAATGCCTCCAAAGTGGGTCAGGGCCATATACAAATTGATATATGAATGCAATTTGGGATCACACTAATATAATCAAAGAAAAATTAGCTTTCATGAATAGGACTTGGTCCTACTCAATACCTACTTTCATAAAGAAATCACTGAAGACATGGATGTTATAGTAAGTGGTGAAGAAGTTATAAGATGCCTGGCAACCAGAGAGAATAGCATCGGGGATCTGAAATTCTTGTCTTAAAGCAAACAATTTTCTAAGTAAGGTGTCAGCAATGTCCATACGGAAGACACACACAAACTCGTGGGATCCAAGTATTGTGTGTAATAAAATACCAGAGCAGAGAAGTGAGCTGTATGAGAGTTTAAATACTGAGTACTAGGTTTTTGAAAGGCTATGTATGACAGTGAAAGCCCACAATTCTTTTGCAGGTTCCCCTTGTGAATTTAGCCTGTGAAGAAGCTCCTCAGATCATTGACAAAAGATGTCAATAGCCTTACTATGAGAGAAAGTTCATTGGAGAGTGGATTCATGCAGACGTAATATTTAACACCCTATCATATGTTCTCTCTTTTGACCCATTTAAAATTTTTTCTACTTTTAATTATTTGTTGCTTTCTTTTCAAATGATTTTTTGTTGTTTATTTGCTGTGGTTGTTAGATTTTATGTAATTTTCTGTATGTTTTTTATTTATATTAAATCCAGGATAGGTAAATCTATACAGATAATACTTGATTAATAATTTCTTAGGGATATGGCAGGGGAGGTTATGGAGAAATGGGTAACTAATAATAATAACAATGTATAAAATAGCTGGGCATGAATGGTTTTTTTCACCACATTTGCTTATGCACCAATTTTGTCTCCAGCAATCATGTTGGGAAGGTGAGCATCACAGAAGGCCAGGTTATTAGAACAAAGTGTTCTTGCATTGAAGGAGGACTTGAGTAGAGGCCCAAAGTCAATCTGCTACCTTAATACTTAACATATAAATATATGTACGTAGACTTCTATCCCTATCGTTAGATATTAATGTATTTACATATATACATGCCTATATTTATGCCTCTATAAATTTATTTTGTCTTCTAGTTATTTCCTCTATTTCCTTTCACTTCCCTGCTGTCCCACTATCATGTTAGACCATCATTGGGGTCTCACATATTCCTACAGGCTACACTGCACTTGATCAAACACCAACAGGCATTCTATGCCCTTCCCACCATTGATTTTAGATCTCTTGTTGTTCCCCTGTCCATGGGTTGGTTGGCTCCCTCCTCCCTTTCCCCCACCTTCTCCTCTGTCATGTACTCCTGGAACCTTCAGTCCCATTGTTTTCTACTTGGGATTGTAAACAATCTTGCCTATCTTTTATAGAAAGAAATCAAAGAAAGAAAAAAAGAAAAAAAAGCCCATACATTGCTTTAGTTCTGTCTGCTGACTCTTATAAAGGTTTTCTGATTGTGTCTGAAGAGGGGCCAACCCATACCTGCTGAATCAGAAGTCTGTTTTCAGAATTCCTCGGGGACTTTGTTGCTTTGCTCCCCTTGCTGCTCTGTTGCACTCACTTCATGTTTTGCTCCACTATGGGGGTGTCATACTGGGCACAATTCCCTCACTGTGTCTCCAGTGCTGTCACCCATAGCACTGTGGATCAGTGAGGGGACATTGTGTCTCATGTGGGGCTGGTCATACAGTCTCTCTGTGCATTGGCTGCTCCGAGCAGAAATGTGTTCCTTGAGGTTTGGTGGGCCAGGTTAGGTTCTCTCTCTCTCTCCATCTTAGTTTGCTCCCATGTGGTTTGGACAGCCCCACCCTTTTCCCTGTCTGTATCTTCAGTGCTGCCCCCTGTAGTGCATTCTTCTGGGGAGATGCTCAGTGTTGCTGTGATTGGGGCCGACCCCAAAGTCCTCTCTGTTAGCTCCATGCTGGTATGTTGCCCTCAAGACTTGGCATTCCAGGCTGAGATCTGGTCCCTCTATCTCTCTCTCTTGTGTATGGAAGGGTTAGTGCCCTGTTCCCCAACTACCCTCGACTTTTTTTTTTTAATTTTCCCTCCTTTTTAGTTGGCTGCCATATGCATTGCTGGGTTGGGTCTGACCCCAGCCAGAGCACCTGGACCTTGCCCTGGGAATATATGCATTCAGTAGCTTAACCCCTATTCCCTGTGTGCCTTTTCAGCTGATCTCACTGGATTTATGTTGTACTTGTCCTTGGGTGCTTGGTTTACTTCACTTAGCCCAATTTCCTCCAACTCTTTCCATGCTATGTTATGGCTTTTTAGGGATGTATAGTGCTCCATTGAATGTAAATACCAGAGCTTTTTAATCCATTAATGCCTTGATGGAAATTTGGTTGTTTCCAACTTTTTGCGATTGTGAAATGTGGTGAAGAAATCTGATGATGCCTGGATATTACAAGATATAGTGTCTGGGGGGTCTTAACTTGAAGTTAAATAAGCACCCAACTAGCAGAGAAGCAGCAAAGCCCACATGGATAGCCTGCGTGATAAGGAGAGTCTACAGGATCAGGTAGCAGGCATCAGTAGACCCCAAACAAACAATCATATTGATGTGAACAAAGGGGATCAGAGTGGAGACCCAAAGCCCGTCTGTAGAAAATTGGACAATTGGACATCTCCTTACTGAAGGGTTAAAAGGAAGGGACAACTCAGCCAGCATGCAGCATAGCACCAATGAAACACACTTCTTCTAGTTCTTTAATACCCCGCCTCCCCGACTCTCACTACCATGACCACAGTTCAACCCTACAAAACTGGCTAGACCGGAACATATACACTGGTACAGATGAGCACTCTTGACACACGGAGTCCAGGACAGACAAACCCCTCAGAAACAGTAATGGGTGCAGCGATACCATGAGGGTAGGGGCAATGTGTGGGGAGAAAGAGGGAAACAATTGCAATGATCAACATATAACACCCCACACACCAAGGGGGATGAACAACAGAAATGTGGGTGAAGGGAGACAGAGGATGGTGTAAGATATGAAAATAATAATAATTTATAATTTACCAAGGGGTCATGAGGGTGGGAGGGGAGAAAGGGAGGGAAAAGGAAGAGCTGATATGAAGGGCTCAAATAGAAAGAAAATGTTTTGAAAATTGTGATGGGAACATATGTACAAATGTGCTTGATACAACTGATGTATGGTTTGTTTTAAAAGGTGGAAGAGCCCCAATAAAGTGATTTATATAAAAATGAATAAAATGTTCTAAAATTAGTTATGGTGATGATTGCACAACTCTTTTAAATATCTTTAAACTGTTTAATTTTAGAGCATGTGAATTGTATGTCAATAAAGATATTAAAAATTTTAAAAGAAACCAAAATATCACATTATCAATTTTAAAAATCTTTCTCTGTACTTTTCTATCTCCATCCCAGAAAGTAACTTTGTGTGTTTTGTCTACTGTACTCTCCCCATTCCATAGAATAGTGCCTGCCATACTTAGTTCTTAAAACAAGATTTGCAAAGTGAGCAATTTAACAAATAATGGTATGTCTTAAATGTCTATACTCAAATTCCAGAAAGAATAGTTAGTATTTAAAATAAAACATAAAAAAAATTATGTTTATGTTTGAGACAACATTTTCCTATATTATAATGCCAAAAAATGAAGGCATGTGCATTAAAGTGCCAAATGCCCCACTTTCTTCCATTTCTGGGAGGCTTTGGAATAAATCCATACACTCTGGAATATTCCTGAAAAACATGCAAATAAAGCAGTATAGATATTTTTTTCTGATAGGGGAACCCATATAGGAGTCCTGATAGCACAGAGGTTACATGTTGGGCTGCTAACATCGAAGACAGGATTTCAAAATCACTGGCCATTCTGCAGAAGAAAAAGAAGGTTTTTTTATTCCCATAAAAATTTTTTATCTTGGAGGATATTGATAAGTAGTGTGCAATTCTGATGCCACATAAAGTTGGGCGAAAACATGAGAAAAATATGAAAGAAAGTTGAAGGATATAGTAGCCATCAATTGTTTTTCCCTAACTAATTGGACATCCTGACGGATTCTTAGACTGCGTTTCCCATATGTATATTCATTCTGGTTTGGCACAAGGACAATGCTAAGAGAAAGTTATCCCTAGCAACAGAAGGAACTTAGAAACTAATAATTTAACACATGGGAGGCTGATGGAAGAGATGAGATCTTCTTGCTTATCCTGCTTAAGAATAAAAACGAAGTATAAGCTAGAGGAAATGTTTCCTTCCATGGACTAAAAGAAAGCATTGTGTCAAAAGTAGCATACATTGGGTCTGCTTTCCTACTATATCTCCATCTTTCCCTAACTTACCCTAAGCCACCAAGATTGAATCTATGGAAGAAGATAAAGGTACTGTCAAAGGGAAGAAATATGATGCTTAAAGAGGAGAGGTCTTTTATGTCTTCACAGGGAGCATTGTCATAAAGTTTATATTTGGGATCTGAAGTAGAAGACATCCAATTAGGAGATGAATGTCTCATCAAGGCACATGCTTTCATTGTTAAGAGATTTTTGAGGTTTTCTTCTTAAGCTAATTATTCTTAGGAATGAGTTCAATACATCCTGTGGTTTGTCCCACATTCCGTGTAGGCAATTTAAAAGGCCAGCACAGACCAGAAGATTCAAACTCCAGAACCTGATTTTCTGCCTCAACTGTACCTTCTTCTGCTGACACCATGTGTCTCTTTGGCAATTACTATGGAGGCCTGGGCTATGGCTATGGTGGCCTGGGCTGTGGCTATGGCTGTGGTTCTGGCTATGGCTATGGTGGCTATGGTGGCTACCGTGGCTATGGTGGCTATGCCTGCTATCGTCCATGTTGCTATGGAAGATACTGGTCTTCTGGCTTCTACTGAGAACTGCTGATTGTTGGTCACTTTTGATTATTTCTACTAATGTCTTGGATATGCAAGCAATTATTTTTTAGTTTTTTATTTGTTATAGGCTGTCAAAATTTGACCAAATCTAATTGATAACCACCATGGGTCAGAACTAAATGATTGATGAAATTCCCTACTACTTAAAAGGAAAAAAAGTTAATTGTTAGATGCATATATTCATGTAAAACTACTATTAAACATCTTTATGTGAGAAAATCTCTAATTTTTCTCTTTAATAAAACTTCCCACCTTCACAAATACAGAATGTTTTTCGTGTATATTAATCTCTTTAATCAATTGTGTGCTGTCTTGAGTGTGTGCATGTATGTGTGTGGGGGGTGGGGGGTGTTTGCGTGCAATCGCGTCCACACATGCGAATGCACAGGCTCTTGTGTGTGTGTGTGTGTGTGTGTGTGTGGAAAGAGACAAAGGTAAATAAAGTAAAATTGCTGAATGTGGCTATTTTAGTAAATGATATGACAAAACAGACAAGGCATAACTAATGGTTCTTTCAAACCAGTATCTGTGTAAAACAATTTTCATGTGTAGTTCTAAGAGCTACTATCCAACTCTCACCTTGGGACAATTCAATGTTTGACCCCGGTCATTGTCAAGATATATAGCACTATTACTATTGCCAATCAGCACATTCTTGACCCGTCAATCAGATATTCTTCCACGTTGCCTTCTTTTCATCCACAGGTAAAAGTTCTCTATAGAAAGCTGGTTGGTGTACCTCATAGTCCTGTAGTTCCAAAGTGAAGTGCATATTGTTGTGGAGTCTCTTCCAGCAAATTTCTGATGTTATGATCTCCTGGCAGAATTCTGGTTACCATTTATGATAAGGAGTAAAATCAACCCCTAACCAAGCCACAGCCATCAAGCTGATTCTGACTCGCAGCGATCCTATATTGAAGTTCTGAGGATATACATCTTCAGTGGAGGCGATGACCTCATCTTTCTGGTCCAGAAGGTTGGCTGGTTTCCAGTTGCCTGAGAGGATCACCAGAGCTGCCAGTAAGGAGTGACATCTGCCGAACAACAGTGAGAAGAAAATCACTCGTTTGACTTGAAATCGTGCTGAAGAAGATTTTCTGTTTTGGTTTAGTCTAGTTTCCCACTGTAAATCTCCCTCGGATGACTTTTTCTTCCCTATCTGTTATTGTTAACAGCCATAGAAATAAAATTTAAAATCAAATTGTTATGATATTTTATTTACTAATATTTAGTACTATTATCGTTTTCCTACCAATGATAAAAGTTTAAACTGAATATCTCAGACTTCTGTATCAATCTCATGTTCAACCAAGGTCTTCCTACATGTGAATACTACCTTAACTTTTTCTCTGCGATTATGGAAGATTGCTGAAAACAGCGGTGGTTTGTCTGTTCTTGCTCCAACGCTCTGTTCAGATAAAGACTAGATACTCCTCTACTTGCCTTTCCTGCAGCAGAATCACTGGAAAGAGTCGTCCCAGATTAGCTCACACAGTCAGCTACTTCCCAGTTTTTAATTCCCTAGAAAATTTGATCCTCTCTTCTTAGTTACTACATGTGCTTTCCAAATACTTTCTTATATCTTTTAATTAAACTTTTCTAGTTGTTTAAATTGGGATTCCTAACTTCACTCCGTATTTCAATTATTCTGATTAAGTATCAATGTTGTTAAAATCAGTTATATTGGTTATATTATACAATCTGGTATATAACCATTGATGAGTTTATCTATGTATATAATTCTCTAAAAAGTGCCAAGACAATATACTTTTGGAAAAAATTAAATCTCTCATATAATAAACCTTTGAAGAAGACAAATGAATTATGGGAAGATGGGGTCCATAGAAAGAACTAATTAATGTAAGAGGTATTCAGGATCTATAAGACCAATATCTGCTGCTACAGTGATATGGTCAATAGTGGTGTAATCATATGTACCTTAGCCATGTGAGTTGTTTAAGGAAAACCATAACCTGTGGCTTCATTTGTAACGCTAATGATCATGGAGATCCACATGTATTATTTCTCACATTAGGCAAAATGGAGCTTCATGCCTGTGTTAGTCCAGGTAAACTAGGGAAATAAATTCATAGACACTCGTATGTGTATAAGAAAGAACTTTATATAAAAGAGTAATTGTATATTAAGAAACATCCAAGCCCAATCCATATTAAGTCCATAAGTCTGATATTAGCCCATAGGTCTGATGCCAGTCTGTAAATTCCTCTTTAGACTCATGCAATGATGTCAAGTGCAGGAAGATCACAGACCAGTGGGTGGAAAATCTTGTGGATGCAGTGGTGGTGGAAGTATCATAGCACTGGCATGGGTCTCCACGTGGCTCTTCTAGCTCCAAGGATCTGACTGCCATCAGCATAGCTCTACGTGCCTTGTCAACAGGAATGTTTCACGGGGAGTGTCAGGTGTCCTGCCTTCAGAGAGCTGTTTATCTCCTTAGTGGCTCCAAATGAGGTCATCAAGCTGCAGTATAATTGACAGGCTAAACTCCACCCTTTTACTCTTAAATCTCAGATTGACCACAGATTATGTAACTACCACAATTCCTGAGACAATTTTGGAATTAAGTCAGAATTCCCTGATCAAAGCATGGGTATTAACAGAGCTATTTCAGAACATCTGAGCTGGAAGATGGCAGCCGCATACATTCCAAGGGAGGGGCTCCACAGAGATCAGCACAAAAGGGCATGAAAAATGATTTTCTACCTTCCAGGTAATGTGATTCTCAGCTTAGAGGTACGTAGAAACAAATTAATTAAAATAAAGAGCAGCAATGCCTGCCCGTAGACTTTCCATTGCCATTGGCCCAAGACACAAGCCGGAGGCGCACAGGTCCCCAACTACCCCACTGATTTTTCTTGGTCTCTGAGATGGCAAGGGAGGCAGACAAATGGAGCTTTCTCTTTGAAAGCCTAAGCAGATAAAAGTAAATGAACCCAATTGAGACCCACCAGCAGCAATACCTCCCCCTAGCAAGGATAGCTTAACCTTCCAAGCTGCAGCCTGGAGCAGGCATAAAGGGCATAAATAATGAATAATCTAACTCTCCACACAAGCCTGGGAAGCGCCACCCCCTCCTGTCCCTGAGGCACAGCTCTGCAGGGCCATATTTTTAGGGAATGGAAAAGCAAGGCCATTCATATGTCTGCCTCTGCATCTCCCCTTCCCCTCCTCCCCACCTTTGTAAATAGGGAACACACTAGCCTTACAATACAAGTAGAAACTGAACCACTGGTTTTACATAGCAAAGTCTGGGAATTTGATGTGAGAGGAGGACCAAATTAAGGCCCAAAGTACAGAGAGCACTCCAGGCTGAGGTACTGGATAGACTGAACAAGCCATAACCTGCTGTCCCATGATATCACCCCCTAGTTAGCACCCCAATCTGCTCAGATAAGCAGCCTGACCTCTGCGGAGGCTACTGCTTCATCCTTCACTTCTAGACCTCCCACATAAGTGGCAGAAATAGGCTTTACTCCCTCTCACCGATTTGGTCTCCTATGGCATCTGATAAGAGAGAACCTTATCCCCCTTTGACCTGAGCCACCAGAGGGCCATTCCTTTATGAAAATTAACCTAAGTCACTACAAGACAAGGCATTCAGCCCTACCAGACACACCAATTAGCTCCCTAACTTTAATCTCAACATACTAATACTGTTCAAAAGACCTCTTGCCCACACAGTCCTGATTTCCTCCCAGACAAGAACTAGATCCCAACTGTTGGTTTGTTGCTGTGCATTCTTTCATTTCTATACACGACCCCTCTTTAAAACAAATGCATGCCAATTATTTTCATTTACCTTAATCAGAACCCCTCCTGCTATTGATCTACACACATATACCCTTGCACATTGTTATTATTTTCCTTTCAATTTACTTTTTGGTTTCCTAGTCCGACAAAATGTCATCCATCCACAAGTTAAGAACCATACCAGAGACAAAGGGCCTGGGCAAAGCTTAGAGCCCCATCACACACACATTAAGAATGCTTCTGCTTCTTACTCCAGTATTATCTGGTATATTTTTAACACTCTTATTTATTGTTCTTTTCTTCTTTAATTTTCATATGCAACCTTCTATGTCATATTGTAAGCTTTCTCGGGTGGGTATTACCTCAATTCTTGGTTTTGCATGAGAAAGAATTCACACAGAAGCCCGTTTTGTAATCCAGTTTAAGCAATTAAATGTGAAAGCATCATAATAATTAATTTTAGAACCTTTTTTCTTTCTGGTACTGATTATTACTAGTTACCACTTCTTCCCAACCTCATATGCCAGCCAAAGAAGCTAATAATCCAGTTACTGCCTCTACAGATTTACCTATTTTGGTTTTTGTATAAAGAAAAATGTGTTAAAAAACATCCAATAATAAAAACCAAACTTCCATTTGAAAGAGAGCAGGAAGTATTAAAAAGCAGAACAAATTTGTAATTGCAATCTTTAAAAAATAACATGTAATAATTGTTATATTTGAGAAATCAAAAATTCACATGGCTTGCTTTATCTCAATATTATGTCATTGCAATGTGGAAGAACCTGAACCATTTGTAATATATAAATATTACACACACACACACACACACACACACACACACACACACACACGTATAATCAGTGCCATCCAGTCGATGCCAGTTCATAGCAACCCTATAGGACAGGGTACAACGACCCTCTTTGCGGTTCCAAGACTGTAACTGTTTACAGGTGCAGAAAGCCCCATCATTCTCTCCAGGTGTGTACGATTTTGAACTCCTGACCTTGAGGATCTGAGCCCAACTCATAGTCACTATGCCTTTAAGGCTCCTGCATATACATATTCAGGTTCTTTTTTTTTTGGTCTCCATATAAACATAACTTTCCTGTCATTAGTTTGGTATGTATCATGCATTAAATTGTGTGTCCTATATAATATGGGCCAATTTAGGTACACTAGGATTCTATGCTTTGGTCATTATGTAA